TGGAAATGTCTTTGTGTCTTATACAGGAATGTTGCCGAAGTCCTGCACACCCACCGGCCCCCACCCTTTGGCCTCTGCCTTCCAGCAATTTGCCTCATTTTCAGCCTCCGCGTGCCCCATTTTCTGCCTGTTCTGATCCCTTGCCAACAGGATGCGGAGGCTGAAAATGGGGCAGGCGGAGGCAGCAATAGGCTATGGCAATCCCTGCAGCCTGAAACAGCTGATCATCGGGAGGCCGATCCTACCAACAATCAGCTGCTTGTGCTAATCAGACTGTGCTGAAGCTGATCAGGCTGTTTGCTGTTTGCTGCAAGGAGGCAAATTGCTGGGAGGCAGAGGCAGATTCCCACCCACCCCCGCCATTTTCTCTTGATTTCCTTTGTTTTCCTCACCAAAAGCTTATATTACAGAGCGTCTTATACTCTGAAAAATAAATAAATAACAATAAAGACAAACAATTAATGTAACATAAAAAGAAATTCTTTCTTCCACAGCTATAACCAGATGTGATTGCAGAGAGCTTGGGAGCTTTTTGCCCAGAAAAGCAAAAATAAAATCTCGGGTTGTGATAGATGAAATGAGTCAGTTTTTTGTTGGGACAAAATAGGTCCATCTAATCAGCTGGGTGTCTTGATGTGACTCTCAGCTTCTTAGAAGATGATGTGGAAAGAGTTTTATACAGATAAAAATGTAACAGTGAGAATTGATATACCGTAACATGAATGTGTCTTGGCCCCGATTCCCAAGCCTATTCTGTCAGAGGAAGAAGACCTGGAAGATGAGGAGGAGGAACTGGGAATGCCTTCCTCCTTAGGACCTTCCTCTCTGGCAATGCCTTCCTCCCCAGGACCTTCCTCCCTGATAGTTCCTCAGGTTCTATCAGACAACCAAGAGGAACAGCCTGAGATTAAACAGGAGGAAGGCATATTGGAGCAGCCCCTGACAGGGAGTAAAGAGGAAGAGTGTTGGCTTGATCCTGAGCAGTGTTGTAGGGAGACACGTGAGCATCAACGTAGGAGGCGTGGGAGGGTCAGAGAGCGAGCTGAGTCATTGAGCCACACCCTACAGGGGATAAAAGTGGGTGTGTTTTCTCCTGAAACTTTGTACGGGACAAAGTTTAACCTTACTTCAGATTTTCTTTATGAATGACTATTTTTGTGGACTGCCTTGTGATTTTCTGTGAGTAAAACTTTATCAGTTTGGACTTGACAGGCAGGATATGTGGGAATGCCAAGAATATTATCAGTTCCAAAGAATTAACTCTGTGAAGTCCGAGCCAGCTTGCCTGCCTGTGTTGGTGTGAGTTTGTACTCTTTCATATTTTGGGAAAGAGGAAAGGCGAGACAGAACATGAATGTATCAGGGAAATGTGAAATTTCCCAGAAGGGACAATATATGGGGGTGAAATAAGACAACTCGCCACAGCCATTGACCATCCACAACTTGTTGTGGAACAATTCAACGCAGGATAACTCAAGAGAGGGACAAGTAGAAATGCAGCTCACCCCAGCCTCAACGACTTCTCACTTGAGTAGGTTCAAACCTAAAACAAGACAAGGCCTGTTGCAATTCACTTGTCCTTGTCTTGAGTTAATCTTGCATTGAATTGTGCTCTGGCGAGTTGGCTCTGTTGAGTTGATCGGGATGAGTCATCCACGGCCTAGACCGTCCCTGACCGAGATAAGGAACAGAACAACTTTGTTAAACTAGGATCTGAAGATGGATCCTCAGGTTTACAACTAAAGTTTAGATAGCAACTAGCACATCTGGGTGTGACAGGAGATACTATATGCAAACGCGCTTCTCCAATAAATTCTGGTCAAGCCAGGATCTCCTTTCTTTTGACGAGGTTGCATTATCCAGACTTGCTACAACTTTCTGGCCGGCTGCAGAGAAAACGTTTCTCCATGGAGCACACAGTACTACTTGCTCCTTTTCCGTCTACGTAAGCGCAGAAACCTTCCCCTCGCACTGCAAACCTGAAATAGGACAAGGAGTTGCTATTTCAATGAACACTGCAAAAATTACCCTTCCATGAAGGTCCCCATCTTTCGAGAATAGGGAAACATCCACCAACACTGCACTTTCAGAACGCAATTTCTGTTATTAGATATTCCAGAATGTTTTGAATTCATCAGAGATATCTAGAACCTAAGAGATGACTAGCCAAAGCTTCATGAAGTAACTTCCATGAACTGTTCTCAGAATTCAATGAACACTTTAAATATGAATATTACAAGCTGTGAGCACTTCTCAAATAATAGAAATTTGGATATGATATTTGGTTTCCATATATTTGCCATTTAATAATCTGAACTATTAAATATAAACGAAGCACATATGGGTTTTGTTGTTAGGTATCTGTGAAAAACTACATGAAGTCTACAGCATTTGGTTTTTGAAGTATAAAGCACAAAAGTAAAACTTTGGTTCAAAATTTCAGTGATCAACTGGAAGGTTGGGCACATTCCTAGCACCTCTGAAGTAATGCACTGAAACACTGAAATTCTGAATTGAAATTTCAGACCCACACGTTGTAATTCAAATTCCAAATGCTGTAGACTTGCGAAAGTATTTGGCATATACTTCAGATTCATTAAACTTTCAAGCACCTGACCTTATTGTTATCAGTCTTAAAATATGGCAAATAACTTGAACAAAAACAAATGGTGCTATTTGGGTTCCTTTTATAGACTTTCAGTTTGAAGGCCAATTGATCAAATCTCTAAAGCAAATCCCTTCTCCCAATCCAATTGCCAAATCATTCTGATTTGATTATTTAGTTGATGTTCAAATAAACACCCTTTCCAAAAAAGGCTGTGTCAACATTCTGAATGATGGATAGGAATGAGATCAGGGATAGTTGATACATCACAAATACACACAATTGATCTTTAACATGTATACGTTTGCCATTTCACGATTACTTTGTTAATAGAACAGGATATGAATCAAGATTAGAGGTGGTTGATACTTTACTAATACATACACTTGATTTTTTTTAAAAAAAAAATTTATTAAACAATTTTCCTCATTTTATAACACCATTTTCATTCTTTACAACATTTCGGTATCGGTATACATTCATTTATATATATTTTAATTACACACACACACACATTTTATACACACACACACATATAAACATATATACATATACTATAATGTATACCATGTGTATTTTTTATTATCATACTATAATATTTCATATTCTTTATTTATCTTTATACCTACTATTTAACCAATTATATCATGCATTCCAAATCAAATAATATTCGGTTTCTCCTCTATCTTTTATTTCCATTGTCAGCCTATCCATCTCGGCACACTCTAATACTTTCCTTATCACACTTTCCTCAGGCGATATAGTACCATTTTTCCCATTTTGCACATAAACAATTCTAGCTGCCGTTATTAAATGTAGCATTAGATATTATATTTTTGTCATATTTTCTGTTATTATGCCTAGTAAGAATATCTCTGGTTTTAACTCTATTTGTTGTTTAGTTATTTCCTCAATCGACCTTCTTATCCTCATCCGATATTTTTTTGCTACTGGGCATGTCCACCACATATGATAATATGTCCCTTGATTGTGTTTACATTTCCAACATTCCGGTGATCTATTTGGAAACATTTTTGCTAGTCTTGCTGGGGCATACATTTGATTCTTAATGTATACATGCACATTTGCCATTTTATTATAACCTAGATAATAGATTACTCTTTCTCAACCTAGACAAATTTTAAGATGTGTAGACTTCAGCTCCCTGAATTCTCTAGCCAGCATTTCAGGGGGGAAAAACAAACTGACTTTCACCAAAAACCCCCACCAAATTCCAATTTTATGACCACCTGGGCTGGTTGTCCCTGCTTACAAAAATACCAGAATTGGCACCAGACCCATCTGCTCTTGAAGGTAGTGTATCATTTCAGTCAAACTGAACATTGGTCCATCACAGCTGGCCAGCAGTGCAGAGACCACCAGCTATTAAATTCTATTGCCCAAACAATCTTTTCTTCCTATTTCTGTGTCATATTTTGGGGAGGGGGAAAGAAGCTTAGCCAAAAAGCATCTCAACTCTTATTATTTTTTTTAGCTGCTCGAGCTGAAGTGTAGTGTTTATAAATGCTTCAAAAAGGAAAATAGCTCTGTAAGTCCTATAAACAAACAAACAAACAAATACAACATACTTACTGGTTTTTAAACTCTGTATCGTTGAACCATTTCCAGAACTGGTTAATTTTTCTTGAGAGACCAAACCAATAATGAAAGGGACTGAAAATTTCCACCCAAAAATCCTAAAAGGGAAAAAAATGTATACTAAACTATAATTTGGAACACTAATTGGAGAAAGAGTCTATTATTTTTCACTATCTGTTTAATGCTAAAATGGATTTGTGTCAAATTATTTCATTTGTACAGGAACATAAAATTAAAGTAATATTAACATATTAATTAAATTGATGTAAACAGTCATAGGAAAAAGTAACTACACCCCCTTTGAGTGCCATGGCTTTGCGTATCAGGACATAATAGAAATCATCTGGTCCTGAGCAGTTCTTAAAAGTAGGTAAATACAACCTCAGATGAACAACACATGACATACTACACCAGGGGTGTAAAACTCAATTTCATTGAGGGCCGCATCAGGGTTGTGGTTGACCTTGGGGGAGGGGGCAACTGAGTGGGTGTGGCCAACTGGGTGAGCGTGGCCAGCTTGACGCCACTCCCCAAACTGCTGGCATGTTTCCTCTTCACACTGGGTGGACCAGACTGAAGCGACATGGGCCAGCCCCTTACTTTTTCCAGGGCAGCCCTGTAGGCCAGATCCAACCATATGTGGCCCACAGGCTTTCAGTGTGACACCCCTGTATTACACCATGTCATCATTTTATTATTATTATTCATAATAATAATACTAAAGTCAAGGAATCAACTTCAGCCAAGTACATTTGAAGAATTCGAAAGATTTTAAAGTCCAAATTGAGTGGTGGAAACATCATAAAAGCAATAAATACCTGGGCTATAACTGTGATTTGATACTCTGCAGGAATAATTGACTGGACCCAGATGGAGCTGGACAATTTGGACAGAAAAACAAGGAAGCTTATGATTATGAATCATGCTTTGCATCCTAAAAGTGATGTTGATTGATCATATCTACCGAGAGCAGAGGGTGGTCGAGGTCTCCTACAGGTGTGTCTCACCTGAGACTTTCAAGAAGAGATTGGACTGCTGTTTGTCAGAAATGGTGTAGGGTCTCCCGCTTGGGCGGGGGGTTGGACTAGATGACCTACAAGGTCCCTTCCAACTCTGATTATCTGAAGCAAAGCAGATTGTAGAAGCAGTTGTTGGAGGGCCGTTTGTTGCACCATCTACATAAAGGACTCGTAACATCTAGTCTGAATATTGGGCTGAATGTGCAACAAACCTTATTAATAATAATATTCTGTAAAGACCAAACTTATGACAAGAGGTAGAATAACAACCTGTAGAATTAACAGTGAAGATACTGAAGTGGTGGATAGTTTCTATATTTCTGGATCTACTATCAACAAAGGAACCACCATTCAGAAAAATGCATTACAGACTAGCCATTGCTAGGGCAGCCATGAAAGCTTTGGAAAAAAATATCAAAATGCCATGACACTTACAAACATCAGAACTGTGCAGGCTATTTGAACTAATGCAATCAAGGCCAGAATTGAAAAATTGTCGAACAATTCAAAGTTCAGATTATATGAAGAGTCAGAAGAAAAAGTAAATCACCTGTGATATGATATACTGCTGGAATTATTGATCGCACAAAAGCGGAACTGGACAGCAGAAAGCTAATGATAATTCGCTATGCATTATACCCTCTTAGTGATCTTGATAGATTTATACCTGTCCTGCAGAAATAGGGACAGATTTCAAGTCAAGCTGTCAAACAGCCAGGAGCACGCTCTGATACAAGTTAAAACATTGGAACTTAAGAATGTTCAGGAAATAAAAGATGAACATCAGAATAATGTAATAAACACACAATGGAAAACACACAATGGCTATGGAAAAGCATTACACAGTCAATTTCTATCAAAGATCAAGTGGATAAAGATGAAACCTGGCAAATGGCTTACCAGAACTGAAAAAGAAAAAGAAACTGAAGATTTGATTTTGGCTGCTCAAGAGCAATCTATTCAAACGAATGTAATCAAAGCTAGAATTGAAAAATCATCAAATGATTGAAAGTGCATGTTGGACAAAGAGGCAAAAGAAACAGTAGATCATACAAGATCAAGACAATTGCACAAATAGATTATAAACTATGATATAACACAGTCACCAAATGAAGCACTAGAACATGTGTAGAAAATTATTGCGTGATGCTCATTAAAATTTGGTGGGAACATAAAAGTACTTGAAAACGAGCAGATTAAAATATTGTGGGATCTCCAAATACAAACTGATAAAAGTCTTGCCTCATAACATACTAGATTTAACTGTGATTGAAAAGAAGATAATGTGGATAATTCATATGGTAATACCAGGAGATAGTAGAATAGAAGAAAAAAAATGAAGAAGATCTGAAATTAGAAGTTTATGACATGAATCAGCCACGATGGTCTCTGTGGTTATTGAAACACTGAGTTCCATCTCCTTCTGGATTCCCCATTGACTTTGCTTTTGGGAATCTGACAGGGAGCATTTAATTTTGATTAAAATACTGTTGCAATACAATATATCGTTTGGGTACCTTGAGGTTATAAACAGACAAACAGAATGAGAATTTTAGTAATATACAGATAATAATAAATACAATAGGATGTCTAATTAATAATGATGTCTAATTATTCCTTACCAATTCCTTCTGTGTATCGATCACAGCCAAGGATGCATTAAGTGAAGAACAGGTCTTTAAACTGAGAGACCAATTTCTTTCTTCTTTTGATGCATAGAAACATTTTCTGTTATATCCAATCCAGAAATCAGGGCAGGCAGCACTTACAGTGGAATGGCATGGCAGACACGGTTTTGTAATAAAAACTGGAAAAAGAAAATCAAAATGGACAAATCACAGAGCTCACAATTAACTACCCTGTTTCTCCAACAATATGGCCTCCCCCAAGAGGAAGTCCCAGCATGTTTTATAGGCATGAAATGAAATTAAGCCCCTCCCCCCAAATTAAGGCCTATATTAAAACATGCGAAATGGGGGAAATGGGGGGGGCTTGCCGTTAGGAAGTACTTTTGTTGCACACCCGGATATGGTGCTGCCTGTGTTGACCCTGATACAAAGTGCCCCACCAACGCCGAGGTCAACATCCAAGCCATCGCTGCCCACCCGCCCGAAAATGCAAGGGGGGTGGGAATTAAGTCACCCCTGAAAAGACGGCCTAGCCATTTTTTTGAGGCTCAAAAAAAAAAATAAGACCAGGCCTTATTATATGAGAAACACGGTACAATTCTGACAACATAGTTTGAATAGACAATATTAATCTACCTCATTTAAACTTCAATTCCAGGATTTAAGGAAACCAAGTGAGTTAACCTGTAAATACAGCTAGTGTTAAGTGCAGAAAATGAGAAGCTGAGGTGATTCAAATGAATACAAGTTTATTGCATGATTGCATGTGGATTCTCATATTGCATATAGAGTGCATGTAGATTCTCTTTCAAGAATCTGAACTACCAACACTCAAAACATATTGACAATAGATAAGAGTCAATGGAATTCAAAGTAGGCTGGACTTAGATTATATTAGATTAACAGCGTTGGAAGGGACCCTGTACATCATCTAGTCCAGTGGTCACCAATCAGTGGGCCGGGGACCACTGGTGGTCCATGAGAAAATTTTGGTGGTCCGCAGATAAATGTCATCCCCAAAGCAATTAATCCAGGCTGTGCAGAAACACAAGGCTGTGCTGCCCACATGGCCCACGGGAACACAAGGCTTGCGTCACTTGCATTGTGCACAACAAGAGTTAGTCAGGGGAGGAGGGAAAGGGCGGCAGGGGGGAAGTTGCCCCACGCGCCTTGCCTGGCCACCAGGCTGCTTCTTTCCGTTTCTTTCTTCCTCTTTTGGTTGCACGCAAAGAAAGCAGCAAAAGATTTTTTCTCTCTCCCAAACTCTGCCAGAAATGAGTCTTTGGGACCCTGCAAGGCATCCTACTCCAAGAGGCTGAGCCGTCAAAGACTCATTTCTGGCAGAGTTTGGGGGAGAGAAAGACAGACTTCTGCTGCTTCCTCTCTCTCTCTCTCTCTCTCTCTCTCTCCTCCCCCTCCCTCCCTCCCTCTGAGAACAGAGCTGGAGACGGTATCCTGCGATCCCAAATAAAAAATGATCGATCGGTAGGAAAACGGGGTGGGGAATTTTCCTGCAGACTGTTTTGGGATTTTCCCAGGGTCTCTGGTCCGCGGGATTTAAAATTGTAAGTTTGGTGGTCCCTGTGGTCCAAAAGGTTGGCGACCCCTGATTTAGTCAACCCCTCGCCCAAGCAGGTGACTTACACCCTTTCTGACAAATGGCAGCCTAATCTCTTCTTGAAAGCCTCCAGTGATGGCGCTCCCACAACTTCCAAAGGCAAAGCTGTTCCATGGGTTGATGGTTCTGTCAGAAAGTTTCTCCTTATTTCCAGGTTGAATCTCTCCTTGTTCAGTTTCCATCCATTATTCCTTGTCTGGCCTTTGGGTGCTTTAGAAAATAGCTTGACTCCCTCTTCTTTATATTATATTTATATATATTATACATTATAGGGCAAGTCATTGACTGCTTTTTTTCTCTAACACAGGGCCCTAATCCAAAATGGGTGCGAAGGGACTTGAGACTGTGATGTGCTTGACCCCTCCCTTGGGGTCAGCTTGGTCATCTCTTACAGGTAGTCCTCAATTACTAACCATATTTGGGGCTGGCAATTCCATCATTAAGAATAGGTTTGTAAAGTGAAAAATCACGACTGCCCGAGTAACCAAGGCAGTTGTGTTTGTCAGTTCCGGCAAATTACCACAAGCAACATTACATGACTGCAACTTGTGGACTTCCTACCAGCTTCCCCATTGACTTTGCTTGTCAGAAATTGCCAAAAACTAGAACTAGTAGATGGATTTGTGTACCTTGATATAATTCTTATCAAATGGAGAAAGTTTAAGAGTGCAAAGGCTGCTAAAAAGGAGGGAGAGAATATGTGGCTTGTTGCAAGAGATAAATGTCAACAAAAGTGAAAATGGTTGCACAGAAGAGTGTAGTTCTGCCTATTTTGTTGTGTGTTCTTTGAAACTGCCATCAGATGGGACTTAGGAGGTGCCTTTTCTTTGTGGTGCCTTCCCTGGGGAATTAAGAGTGTGGTGGTGTAGTGGTTAGAATGCAGTATTGGTGGCTAATTCTGTTGACTGCTGACTGCCAGCAGTTTAGCAGTTCGATCCTGACTGACTCAAGGTTAACTTAGCTTTCCATCCTTTCAAGGTCAATAAAATGAGGAATGTTGGGGACAATGGGCTGACTCTATAAAATTGCTTAGAGAGGGTTGTAAAGCATTGTGAAGTAGTATATATGTCTAAGTGCTACTGCTATTAGGTTCCCCCATCCTGAAATTTGACTGGGCCAAGTTAGCTTTTAGGAAAGTTCTGAAGACCTGGCTATTCTCTTGGGCTCTGGGGTCAAGATGCAACATGAACTTCTATTGGGAGGTGTAATAAATGTTGGTGTGCCTGTGTATTTCATTGTGATTTTTAGTTTTTTTTTTAACCAAATATTTTGCCAATATACTTACCGAATATATTTTAATTGTAACTACACAATCCTACTTCTTACAAGTTGGATGACCATCTATATTCTTTAAATTAGTGCTCCCAAAACTGTTTCTTTAATCACGCAAAACCACTTATCTGGAAATCCTTTTTATCCAATGTTGGGTACTCTTCAATGAATGTAAATTTCTCTGTTGGTATAGGGCAGAGGTGGGCAACTATGGCCCCTTTATGACTTGTGGACTTCAACTCCCAAAATTCCTGAGCTAGCATGGCTTGGTCAGGAATTCTGGGAGTTGAAGTCCATAATTCATAAAAGGGCCATTGTTGCCCACCCCTGGTATAGGGTAATAGGGTTGTTATATCATTACCCAAAGAAAAACAACTTTCACCCAATTTTGGGTAATTTACCCATGTTTGGGTAGCACTGCTTAAAGAAAATTAAATATGGAAGTGAGAGTTCAGCACATCAGGAGAAACATAAAAGTAGATTAGCTATCATAGGAAAAGATCAAATTTGATGTAGTGGTTAAGACATCAGGCTAAAACTGGGAGACTGTGAATTGTAGTTCTGCCTTAGGCACAAAGCCAACTGGATGACCTTAGGCCAGTCATAAATTCATTCATTGAATTTATATTGCCTATTCGCCCATGGCGACTCAAGGCGGCTTACTGAATATTTTCTCTTAGCCAAAGGAAAGAGGTGGAGACAGGGACAAGCTACTTCCAAAATTTTGCCAGAAAAACTGCCCTGGCAGTTGCTGGAGTTTAAAACTGACAGAAAGACACCATAAAAGAACTTCTCAAAAAAAGCTACACTAAGTATGGATTACAAATCAAATGCAAGTTTGTTTATGTTGGATCTTGCAGGCTTCCTCCCTCCCCTCCATTCACTCTGTAACTGCTTTGGCTTGTCACATAACAATCTTCCCTTCCTGGGACATTGTGGGGGTGTCCCCCCCCCCCCCCCAAAAAAAAAAAAAAAAAGTCCAGATGGCAATCACAGTACTGCAATCAAATTCCTTCCAGGCAACATTTGACACATGTACAAACTCTAATTTTCAACTGCACTGTAGCAATCTTCATCTTGACTCATTTGACACACCTCACCCCCAGTTGCTATTTCCTTCCAAATTATTCTGTGTTTTAAATTTATGCATGTGGTGATCTTTGTTTAAATGATAACCACGGCAGCAACAAAACTATGGAGAAAGTTAAACAGAAAAGACGCAGTACTTACCAGTCAATATAGCAAGGATCAAAATTGCGGCTAAAAAACCTAGACCTAAAGCGATGATTTGGCCCTTGGGTCTGACTGCTGAAAAACAGACAAGAAAATATTAGGAGATGTTCATGATTTCATTAAGACTGTTTAGATTTTTTTTAGAGTCCGATCAAACCGATCTGTCAGATGGTGCTCCATTCAAAATCCAATATAGAAATACTTAAGACTCCATTAATTAGAGAAAAGATATCTTTTACTGGAAATCAAGTGGTAGCAACAAAAGACTTCTGAATTTGAGAAAATGAGCGTGTAAATCACATATATAAAGTGATGGCAACGTTCCCACCCCCAATAGTTCAATTGGCTCGTCCAATTAAAAGTTGTGTATAGCGTCATGTGGGCATCTCCAGGTGGTGATGAGGCCTCTGTCCGTTGACCTGGGGATATTTTGATAAAGAGCTGCGGTTGCGCATAGCATAGGAAAGAAGCCTAAGCAAGAAATCCCCCCACCCCCCAAACTTATACAGTTCTGTTTTGTGAAACCTCCAGCTCGCTTCCCATAATCATGTCCCCCCTCCTCCCCGTTACCTATGGCAGCCGAAAGATGCAAAGCAAAGGAAGAAAATCTTGAAGGCTGACACAGTCAGTCATAGAGATCAACCCTGACTGCTCTTTAGAAGGCCTGATCCTGAAGATGAAACTCAAATACTTTGGCCACCTCATGAGGAGGAAGGACTCCCTGGAGAAGAGCCTCATGCTGGGAACGATTGAGGGCAAATAGAAGAAGAAGGGGACAACAGAGAATGAGGTGGCTGGATGGAGTCACTGAAGCAGTAGACGTGACCTTAAATGGACTCCAGGGGATGGTAGAGGACAGGAAGGCCTGGAGGAACGTTGTCCATGGGTCAATGCGATGGGTCGGAAAACGACTTTGCAACTAACAACAAGATTTTTTAAAATGTTTTTGTCTTATAAACCATTCAGGGTTGTAGTCCAGACTATAGCATAGTAAATTGGATTTTATTATCTGACTCAGTTGTTGATCCCATCAAAATAAACCCTGAATGTCCCTCATCTCCTTCTCTCTCCCTCTATAACAGAGGTGGGGAACTATGGCCCCTTTATGGCTTGTGGACTCCCAGAATTCCCCATGCCTGCTCTATAAGGAAAAAATGAAGAAGCAGTTGGTGTGACTCCCGAGGAGCACAGAAGCACAGCCTTGGTGTCAGTTGTGAGTGGCCTTCAGAGTTCTTTCTCCACAGAGCAGGTAAAGTGGATCTGGAATGGCTTCCATCTTCCATCCTTCTCATAGTTGTGGGAGACACAAAGTCAATCTCAATTCCGCCACTACCAAACGTGTTTCTTTCAAGAGGCAACTGGACTTTCTGGGTTGTCTTGGAAGACATTTCGCTTCTCATCCAAGAAGCTTCTTCAGCTCTGACTGGATGGAGGGGAATGGAAGGATTTATACTCCTTGCAGGCAGATGGTTATTTAAATTCTATTAGTGGGTTGTTAAGGTCACCTGGAGGTTTATCTATGTCCTCAGAGTTACCTGAGTGGTGCAAATGGGTGTGAAGCCTTCTTGGAACTGCTGAAAGGACTGTGTTGTAGATTGGAGATAGATGATGGCATATCCCTCCCCCTCTGTTGAGAGGGGGCTGATCAATTTTGACATAGATGGCTTTCTTAACCCCTTTCAAACCAGCATGGGGCTTCACTCATTTGCCCGACCCAGTTTCTGGTGTGCCATGGGCCAGCGCAGTTTGCGCCCGGGTGTTGGGGACCTCTGGTATAGAGGACAGCAGTGAAAATAGAACATGTCATCCCAACCTACTCATCAAGACTGTGGTGGTGCAGTGGTTAGAATGGTTAGAATGCAATACTGCAGGCTACTTCTGCTGACTCACTGGCTCAAGGTCGACTCAGTTTTCCATCCTTCTGAGGTTGATAAAATGAGGACCCAGATTGTTGGAGGGGGGGAAATATGCTGACTCTGTAAAAACTTAAAGAGGGCTGTAAAGCACTATGAGGCAGTCTATGTCTGTGTCATGCCCCTGTCGGAATCTGACTCCGAGGGGGAGGCTGAGTAGCTGACAGGGAGTGGGAGTGTGGCTCCACTGGCTGTGGAAGAAACTGGGAAAGAGCAAAGGCCAGCTGGGCAGAGCAGGGGAGAGATAGAGCAAGGCAGAGGGAATTTGGAGGAAGACCCAGGCCCACCCCCTCTTCATCCTAGGGCACGCAGAGAGGAATGAAGAAGGGAGCAATGTAAGTTGCGTGGCTTATGGGGGAAGAAAGGGCCCTGATTCCCTTCATTAGCTGCAGCTGGGAACACAGTGTTTAAAAAGGGAAATTGCGCACAGCAAACTGTTGAGAGCAAGTTGTGAATTATCTGGTATTGTCGAGGCTTATCTGGGTTCCTGAACTGTGTGTGTTTTGCTGGCCTTCCAAGTCTGCAATTCCTTCTCCTGCCCTGTCAAGTTAACACAAGCGTGGTTTGGGTGGATTTTTATTTACAGTTTGTACGTAGTTTGTTTTCGGACTGAATTTCCTCCACTTAAAGACTGTTCTTGGGAGAGTTTTTTTCTCCAGCCGAAGGTAACCTGGAAGCAAAATTAGAGGTACTAAAGGGACCCTCCTTACTTACGTGACTGTGTTGCCTTTGTGCCACATGCCGGGTCATCACAGTCTGAGTGCTATTGCTGTCTTCTCCAACAGCATTACAGCAGGTAACCAAATCCTTTTCTTTGAGACGAAGGTATTAACATCAATTCCTTCCCCCTTGGAGGGATGATCTGGACTTGTCTCCCACCCTAATAGCTAAGTCAGGGGCAGGGTTTCTATCCTGAAGATTATGTGGGGAACTCGCCAAAGCTACCATGTTGGCCTAAAGTCAATTTTGTGTGAGATTTTTCTTTTCAAACGGAAACCCCATATTCCTCTCCTCAAAACCAGGAAAAGAAAGTAAAACAAAATGGTTTTTACATAGGGTGGCTCAGCTTCACCCACTTTAATTACTTCCCCACTCCAAGGTTACAAAGGATCCCAGCCAGGTGTCTACCTTTGTTTCTACCAGCATTCGATGGACTCTTTGCATCAGAGTTTCTAGAAGATGTACTTGTGGTCTTAGCAATCCAGGGATCACAATATCCAGAATCTTCTTCTATCAATATCGAAAGGCAAAAAAAACAATACATAAAGTTATGGTCTAGTTTTGCTATGTGGGGAAGACGCTGCTTCCCAGTACCCAACCAGGGTTCCCTCTTTCTCAAACGAAACAATTTAAATATTTTAGGTAGCAGAAACCTCACAAAATCCCCCGATCTTGCACTGCTGAACATTCACAGGCAGAACTCAAGACAAAAACCTCATGGGAGTTGATCATCTTGCAAGATTTCAGTTGATTATATTAGGGGGTGGTATCCATGTCGTAGGACAAAACTGGACTTACATCTGGGGTATTTCTACTGCTTTTGTGGTGCACATCGGAAGATCTCCTTGCTTTTGCACAAGCAGATTATCTATTTTGCTGAATTCTATCTGAAACTGACATTCCACACAGAATCCAAGTTGTCAAAGTTTCTGATTTACTCAATAAGTATCTTAAAGCTTAGAAGATCATCTGGAAAAGTCCTTTCAGATGCTCTTCCTGGTTCATCAAATTTAGAGAATTTGGTTCATACCTTAAAAAGCAAGAATGAATGAAGAAAACTATCCTACAGGTAACCAATTATTTTACTAGATTTCCCCAATTCTATCTTGAATCCAGTTATCTGCAGATATTCAGATCAAAACCTTTCCTCATCCAAGTTTCAATTTTTTCAATTCATGCCTGCCTTACTTTTCCTGGTTCCTCCACTTAGTATAGAAACCAATGTTTTTAGCCATATAATCAACTAGCCAGGTACTGGTGCTTTGCTATGAAACTATGTGATTGGGCAAGTTTTTTGGGAGGAAAATATGGGAAAAATGCTCTTTCTGCCTACCAGCATCCATCTATATTCATCTGGCTAGCATCCTGTCAGCGTGTGAAACTAGAGGGCTGTTTGGAAACTGAAACAGTGTTTGCTGTGTGAGCAATAAGACAGCAAGAAGCTTGGGTATAGCGTAGTTCAACTGCAGTTGGAACAGATTTCTTTTCAGGTGGGGAGAGAGTTGAGAGCTGTTTGGAAACTGAAACAGTATTTGCTGTGTGAGCAAGGAGACAGC